CTTCGTTTGCGTTTCTCATAAGCGGTCGGCCCTGTTTTCGCCTAGCTGGACCCGCGGAGGGAATAAAAAACAACGACCGAACAGAGGGAAAGAAAAGCTCGTGGACGGATCGGCGGGTCGAGGAGGAGGACTCCCGGGGGAGGTGCAGAGGGCGGTGGGCGCCTCTTTAATATTTGCTCGCTGCATCCAGAAGCGTACCTCTCCGCGGAAGATCGATGCGCGACTGTGACCTCCTTCTCCCGCCAAGTGTTAAATTAAATTATTATGATCGTTATCGTTAATCAGAGGGGATATCGCGGGATCGACTACCGCCGACACCTGTACACGACGAGAAGACGAACGCGGGAAACCGAAACGGAACGGGAGAGCCAGCGACGACCTGGAAATTACGCGCTCCGACGAATCGGTGGATTTGATCGTTCTTTTTCCATGCATTAGGAGATACCTCTGTATTCCGATCGAGCCGATAGATCCCACCCCCTTTCGCCCCATTGCACTTTCGATAAATGGCGATCGTACCGAGATCAGGTGTCGCGTGAACACGGTGGAAATGATTACGAACAACGGTCTTTCTTTCTCGAGTACAAGAGACAAACAAATTCGCCGGAACGTATAGCGCGATAAAACAAGATAAATAGAGCGCCGTTGATTGTCCAAATTTAGAAACGGGGTCACTTATTAAATAAAATAAATGGTTCGTTGGAACAAATACGCCGCGGGCGATTCTATGACCTCTCTGTTAAAAGACATAGGCAAATTTCATTTTCTATTTCTAAATTCGACTACCACCTTTCAGTTATCCGATCGAGAGGGGCTTGCAGTTATCCGAGCGTCGGTGCGCCGAGTTCCAGAGCGGCTCGAGGTCATCGCTAGCGCGTCAGTTCGCAGGCAGATCGCGCTACGAGATACATAATTCTCCCGGGGCGCCATTAAATTATATTAATCCGCTTCCATCAGGAAATTGGAGCTCCCAACGAGCGGCGGTCGACGCAGCGTTGCTCTCGACGCGACAGCCCCATCGTCTCTGCCTATCGATCTAGCCGCGATACGTTCCTTATCCGGCGATCGGATCGCCGGGTGTCTTGCGATTCGGGCCCTTCCGTTACCGCTTGGATGGGGAAGGGGGGAACCGCCCGTTTCCGGGAGATTAGGGGGCCGAACGGGGCCGCCCGTGGCACCGAGACCGACCAGAAAAACCGAACGGGCGAGCTGGTAATTGGGTCGAATACCGTAGAAAGCCTCCGGGGCTCCGAAGAGCCGACGGAGGCTCGCGGTGTCGCGGTGTTGTTTATCCCGTATCGCGAAATGAGTTTTGGAACGAGCTACGTGGGTAGCCGGGGGAATGAGTCGGAGTGGATGCTGGAAACGCGTGCGGGGGGAGAGGATCGTCGGATAGAATCGCGAGAACCTAGAGACACTCGAGCAGGAAGGAGAACCTGTTATCTGCAAATGAACTTCCTACGGTCTATAGAGATCCCTGCAACTCTTTACCCGATTTTCCTTTGTTTCAGGATTTTATGACGGGTGCTCGAATATTAGCTGTATTTGCCTATTCGCGTGCAACCGGGAGTCGTGCGATAGATTCTACAGAAAACGGCGTGTATCGGTGTCTCTATCTGGAAGGTGAACTTCTTACCGGGTATGGTCAAGGTCTGCATGGTCGGGGAGGAAATATCGGATATATTTGTGCCAGCAGAAGTAATTTAAACTCATTAGGGAGAGGATTATCGAGTACAATTTCGAAACATGTAGATATACCGAATATGTATTATCTCTGATGTATTTACTGGTATATTCAATGCCTATTCAGTGTTACCGGGTGTCTATAAACAGTGTAATTAGTGGAACATCTTAATTCCTATTTCCTCAAACCTAACGTGCATCGAATTCAAATTTGATCTGCATTGCCAGAAAAATTACTGAACAAATAAGTCTCTTACTGTCTATATCGACTGAATATAATGCAATATCGAGCAGGCCAGTAAAATCTGAAGACATTGAGAATAACTCAACTTTTACCCCAACTTTGTTTCAAACCGATCGAAATATATTTAAACAGCTGCACCCTGTTTTAAACTCATTACGAGGGCAGATACTAAAGCGAGAAACAAATCCTGGTAACAGCAATGAACTTTCCGAACTCTTCTCATTTCTGTTTGTTTCGAATTTACATGTCGAGTATTAACCGTGTTCGAAACACTGAAAATAATTTATATATGCCGAGCAAAAAGGTCGTTGCACGAGATATCGGGCGAAGGAAGAAAAACCTGTTATTTGTCGTGAACTTGCAGGCGCCATTACCTGTTGAACTCTTGTTTTGATTTCTGTCTGTTCGAGGTTTGTATGTCGAAGACTCGAGTATTTGCTGCACTTAGAACGGTGCCGGTGATTTGAGCACAATGATGAGTCGATACGTTCGCAAAAAGCTGGGAACACCGAGCCACGAAAGAGAGTCCGTTTTCTCCGATGCACTTGTTAGCCTAGTCGTCCCGTGGGATTCATTTTCAAATTTCAGGTTTACCCAACAAATATCAATTATTAGAATTCGTTTCCAAGATGACTACTTGGAAGCTTTGTAAATTTGAATTAAAACGGAAAAAGCTTCGTCGCTTTCCTGGATTTCCGGTCTGTTCGAGGTTCACGCGTCGAACAATGCAGCGGTAGTTAAATTTAGAACAGTGAAAGTTATTCATGCAGAGGGGTAGAAGGGTCATTGAATAGATTAGGTAGATACTAGGAACAATAAGGTAGGAAGAGGAACAAATTATTGCAACAACTAATGAGATTTATAGCTAACGAGCAGCTGCGTCGTCAGATGGATTAAACATTGATCGAGGAAGCAGAACGTGTGATCTACGATTTATTTATTCCGATCTCTACCTGCTAAATTCTGTTCTAATTTGGTTAAGATCTATACGTCGAAGAAGACTGAAACGTTGGGATGCATTTGAATTAATAATCGTACTTTATGCACAATGAACAGCAGGATTATGGGATACATTAGCGAAATTCTGGAAATACTGGAGTAGGAAGGAGCACGTGTTATCTGCGATAAGCTCGGTGTTTCTACCCACCAGATTCTTGTCCTGATTTATTCAAAGTTTGTCTATCGAAAACGACTCGAGTATTAGCTATGTTTAGACACGATCAATTTGATTTATGCACGCTGGAGCAGGATTATTGAATAAAGTTGCGAGAGCCGAAGACGCTCGGGCAGGATGGCTCCTTTCGCGATTCCTCTTTGTTTGCGATCTATACAACGGGGGCAACTCGAATAATAAAAGCAATCTATATTTGTAACCATAAAGCATTTATTAAAAGCCTCGAAACTGAACGATTATCGATCCAAATCTATTTCTATTTTTTGGCTAACACTTCGCTACCCAATTTTGTTCAAACGTTTCGATTCCATCTTCATTTTGTACTTCCAAGCATTTTCTGGCCCAGATTCGCAAATACATTTTCTCGAAAGGCTCTTAAAGATTTCAGAATTCTTTAGCTCGACCTCGAATTTTGAATAGCAAAAAATAATACGAGTCCTATAATAAATTTATTCGATCTTTGTCTACGAGACGGTCTCTCCTAAGTTTTTTTTCGTACGGATGAAACCTTGGAGGCATCTTAAATCTTTTAAGAAGCAGCAAGGACGATGGTTTATGGAAGACGCGAAGAAAGGTTTGGAAGAGACTCGGTCGAGGGATGTCTGAACATTTTAAGATCCATTCGCTGCACGAAGTACGAGAAGGAATAGATTTTGTTATACACTTTTTCACTTTCTGTGTGTGCCACTCTCTTGCCCTCGGAGAGTATCAAAGATGAATTTCGCTGGTTTCTGAATGAAGTTACAGAGAGTTGGAAGGGAGCCCAATGGTATCGAGACTCGAGGCTTTCGAATAGCAAACAAAAATTTTCCCGCTAATTGATTAGCAACTTTCCCTTTTCTGGAAGCCCAGATACAAGATATATTACGAATTGCAAAGCTAAATATAAAATAATAAAATATTTCTTGAAATATGTTTGGAATTTCTTTTAATAGAAGATTATCGGAATCGATGCTCGAAAGTGCAATAAATCGAAAAAAAAGGCAGGTTTGGTAACCGCCACTTAATGTTCAGCTCGTAGTCCGTTTCTAAGTCTAATAAGTTATTTAAAACGTAAAGTTGCAAAAGGAATATAAAATGTATTGATCAGTGTAGCGAAAGGGGCACGTAAATTACAAAAAATATACGTTAGAAACTCAAGAAATTTTATTCCACTCGCAGGGAGCAGTGACTTTAATGGGATAACGAAAATATAAAATACGAAGGAAGTTTCGATCTCCAGCAGGAACGAAAACTGAAGAGTACCCTCGCGTCCATTCTTGCGCGAGTTATTTCAAACTTTGCAAACCATTACGATACTTTGTTGTACATTGTATGTACTATAGTTAACTGAAACGAGTAGTATCCGGAGAAGCAAGATATTCTTAAAACTGAGCAGGTAATTTAAGAAATTGGGTGAGAGTCCTGTCATTCGCGTACGGGCGACGTGGCGAACGTAAAAGCATTCACGGACACGGAACGGTGGTTGGTCAAACAAAACATAGCGAGATATAGAATCACAATTGGAAAAAAAAGGTATCCTTCGTTGCCAATTTGCTCGTCGCTGGCACGCGTACGTCGGATCGACGCAGTTTGCACCGATCGTTACAGAAACGGGGAAATTTCGTCCCCAGAAGCGGTGTCGGTTCGCGTCTCGACGTCGCTGGCGGAAAAAAAATCTCCGAGTTACCCCCGAATTATCGAACAAACGACGGCCCCCGAATCCGGTCGCAGAGGAATTTTTAATGCGGCCGGACGCACGCTACCCTTCCGCTCGCCGAGTGCCGCATAGAGTGACACAGCACGCATCTATGCAGGCGTCGACACGGTCGAACACCGAATGGAAAACCCTATTTTCCATCGGCGACACGCGACGAATCGACTCTGCTCGTCCAGCTCGAGCAACGAACACGGACTCACCCGCTACGACGAGGCAGGTCAGCAGCAGTCCGAGTCTCCAATCCATGACGATCCCTGGCGGTTCGCCGATCGCGCCTTCTCACTTTCAGAACGAAACGGTTCACGGACTCACTGGCACCGATTACTGTCACAACGGAAACGCGGTTCACACAGAGGTCGAGTGAGGCGGTCGCGCTTAAAAAATTGTCCGGATCGTGGGGCGAGAGCGGTTCTCGCGGGACGAGGCAGAGCAGGTAAGAACCGGGAGCACCTTGTCGCGTCTGGAAAGGGAGGAGACGACGGTGGGCCACGGGGCTGAAGAGGTCTGCGGGACTCCCCTTGACCTCTCCCTCTCACGAGTAGTCGCACGCGTGACGATCGCGCGAGAGGCACGCGTCGCGAGGAAACAGCCGCTGCCGGCCAGGCATTTGGGCAGAACCGTGTATGCCGCGCGGCGATCGCGTGTCGAAGTGCGCCCGCAGCCAGCTAATGCCGCCCTCTCGCAGTTTCACCCCCTTCATCGCCCCCACCAACGCTCTGACTCTTGGCCCCTGCGCCCCCGCCACTCGAACTGCCTCTCCCCTCCTCGACGCTCTTCGTTACGCTGACGCGCGTCGGGAGAGCCACCGGCGTCGTACGTTCGCACGAACGACCACGGAAACGACCGAACGACTGCTGCGGGAGTTGCGCCCCCACCACTCCACCCCCTACGACCACCTGGTGGCGGATCAGGGACGGACGCCCTCCAACCGGTCCCCCCCTCGAAAATTCGCCACGCGAACCGTTAACCACCGATTTCGACCAAACTTGACAGAAAGGTCCCCAAATGCACGATATTTCGACCCACATTGATGGAAACCGTAGACGCCTAACAGAACGGCTGCTATTCGGGGTTTATTGTAGGGGGATTGCAGGTCCTTATTTGGTGACTTATTTAGTGACCCGCAAGAAACAATAATCAACACTGGATGTAGAGTAATTATGATTTATAATCGCAAGACAACATAAAGATTTATGCATTTGGCCTCGTCGCCAGGTGGTTATAAACTAACGCTTTTCTCTGTTTACTTCGGCGTTATTCTGTTGCTGTACCATCCCCACCAAGCACGGGTCTCCACATATACCGAACGTGGTTTTTGATATCCGTTAATCTAATTAAATTTTAGGCTTTTATCTAGTCTCGAAATAAACGGTTACAAAATCGATATAATTATGAGTTGTAAATGAAGTTAAAGAAAGAACCCCTGACATTTTCCGCGCAGAGAGAAGGATTCAGATCCACCGGGGCACGTGGTTAATTTTCATCCTCCGAGCACGAGTACCAACCGACGTGTAAAATACACGTGTATAGTGTTGAATCTATCCGTGCGCCGCCGAGTCTCATCAAAATCGGAGATTGTCAATTGGGAAATGTTCCTTGCAAGTCGGACGCGAGGAAACGCGAACCACGGCCGTAGTCGAGATGCATCCCCCTCGAGATTCTCTTTGGCTTTCAGCCGCAGTCGGTCACGTGGTGCAACGTGACGTTTTCAGAAGAAAAGGTACGCCGGAACATGTAAAATTTAACGCCTAGTTTGTACGGAATTCTCCCGACCGGCCGTAATATGTTTTACGAGCGACGATAAGGAAAAATGTAACGCGAAATAAAAGATTTTAGAATTTAATAGCCGCCTAGGTATCGTAATTATTTAAGAAAATGGGCTCTTTATTTCCACGCGATATTCTTGTTATTTTGAGATGTAAAACTATCGTCGGAAGTGCAGAAATTCCCTCGTTCGAACGGTCGTGTCTTCCTATTAATTCGGACAATAGGGGCGGTTGCAGTGTATTCTTCGCGAATCACCTTCTGCACGAACCACAATTTATGGCACAATGCCTCGCGCGATTAAGCTTCCACCGCGTAGAAATAAATAATTATACAAATAACGCGATCCCCGGTGGAGATTTCCTTGAAACTCGTTCGCGGACCAGCTCGACTGGTATTCGAAAGGGGATGGGTACGCGGCAGGGGTTGAAACGGAGACGCTGGATATTTCTTTTGGAATTTTTCTGCCGCACGACCGAAAGGGAAAGCAGTAAATAGAGGCGGGCCGGTGGTAATGATTGTGCAAGCGAACAGAGCGGTACTAATTAAGGGGTGGAACGTAATCGCCCCTTTTTTTTCCTAATGACTTTATTGTTTTCATTGCAACCGGTTGTTTTCCGGCTTTTTTCTTCCCAGAAACGGAGTGGGCGGCCAGGCAAATCGGAGGGATTTTGAATCCTGGATTGTCGAGGTTTCTTTTTCTCCCCCCTTCCCCCACCCCTCGTCTCAAGGCCAACGGAGAAGAACGTTGTAACGATTACGTCGGTCAGTATTTAAAACGTCCTGGTTTCAGGACGCGGAGACAAGAAATTTCTACGCGAAAGAGGAACGTTTCTTTCAACGACCTTTTATTTATCCTCCAACAAGTGCGCAGCTCTTGATGAGTTAATTGGATTCTTGTTGCGGACGAAAATTAAAACGGAGAAATTATAGAGCCGGGTTACGACCCTCGACAATCTTTTTCCGCGTTTTCTTGCTTCCCAGTATCCCCGGTAACTCGACGTTTCTTTTCACTCGCGTTCGAAGATCGTGAAAGACCGAACTCGCAAAGGTCAAAAGCAACCCTTAAATTTCTATTCCCGCTGTACTTTCTTTTCCGCACACCTCTCGGAGCCCTCGTGTACAGCATTTTCATTCATGGACGTACGAAGAAAAGCGAGGGAAATTCTCTTTTTACCGAATCTTTCTACGCTTCCATCCTTCGATAAACTCGAAATCCTAAAAACGAAAGAATCTCCGTGGCGACGTGTCCCAGAAAAATATTAGTCGTTCCGCCGCCGTGGTTTACGTTTATTTTTAAAACGGGGGGAATTTTTGATGCTTTCGTCTCGTTATCGGAAACAATTATAGATTTCGACGTGCTCGATTTTTCGAACATCTGACACGCGAACGACGTTCAACGGGGAAAATACGACGAGCGTTTAACGACAGCTACAGCAATATTCAATTAACGGTGCACTTAAATTTTTGGAACAAATAGCAACTATTTCTATAAAATAATAAACGACCGACGGCTGAATGAGGCTGCAGTAAAAACGAAAGAGTGTACTAAAACAGCTCGACAACTGCTTACTAGACTTGTTAGAGCTACTTAAAACAGGCAGCCAGCAATTTTTCCGAGCCAGAAGTAAAAACTTCTTTCGCGTTTCTCTCGGAAACCGCGTTTTTTTATTTAATATTCCAATGTCTCGAGAATCTCTAAAAAAAGAGAAAATTCAAACTAAATACGTAATACACGAAACATCGAGAATGATAACCATTAACCAGCACTTTCAGTTTAGAGTGGAAATAAACGTAGGCGGTGAATTCGAAATCGCGGTTAAAAGGATGAAAAATAGCGAAATCTGAAGAAGACAGGAAAACGTGCGTGACTGGAAACAAAGCTCGTGTCAGCGTGAATAGGCGTGTCGGGCAAAGTAGACGATTTGAAGCGTACTTTTAATATTTGCTACGAAGTGGAGTACCGTTTACAGCCGCTAGAAATTTTATCCAAATCGATCTGTTTTGCTCGTTTCTTTTTCCGAATTCGCGTAAAAACGTATCGATTCGCGAAGACCGTGAGAAAGTTGCGTAAAACGGTCTCCCGATCGCGTTTAATCTGAAGGCTGCACGGTATCGGGGAAGGAAGAACGGGCCAGATAAACGCGTAAACAAACGGAATCGCGTTAAACTGTGGAACCGCAATAACAAGCTGTTGCAGTTATCGTCGCGTGTGCATGCAATTATGACCGCATGGGGGGTTGCACTAGCCGTACCGTTCCGTGATTGCACTATCGGTGCACGTTCGACTGCGTGCACGCAAAGAAACAAGTCAAACTCGTCGAGACACCGTCCAGAAGCAATAACGTAAATTTTTCGCAATTTTTCCATCCGCAAAGTTGGGGTTTGCAACCAAGATGGAAGATTAAAACCTTCGAAAAACAGACTCTTTCAACAAAATTGACGAATCGAAATCTCTGAATCAATAGCTGCTGACGTATTCTGATTTATTTTCTGTACAATATAATGTGTTCTATAGGTACCGCAAGTACTTTTACTTTAAAAGAAATGTAAAAAACCACGAGTACTCTAACGTCTGAAGAGACTCGAGCGTTCGTAATCAAACGAGGTTAAACACTCAGATTTTGTAGTCCTCGACGAAAGTATTGCCTCACTTTATCCGAAAGAATATTTACGCTCGAGAGTGAAATCTGTTTTTTTTATCACGAGATTTTTCCATGCATGTCGCGATCATGTAACTTGTAATTACAACGCGAATATCGTGTAACGTTCTAAATGTAAAGAGGCCCCAAAAATAAAGCTCCGGATAAATGAAGATATTCGAGACGACGTTCTTTTAAGCGTCGCGTAATAAATACCCATTTAAAAATGAATTATTGTTTAATTGATACCTGCGAGTGATGGATAGCGTAGTAATGATATGCGGTGGCGACTTATTTGCATTTTAAATAAATGAGCCACGTACGTCAACAACCCCTCGGGTTCTTAAATTTGCTTGCGAGATTAAACTTTGAACAAAAGGGGAATGCAACCAGGCAAAAATGTCGGTGTAAGCTCGTCGAATACCGAATATAATCGAAAAAGGAAAGAAACTGGGAACAAATACTTGTGAATCTCGTTCGACGAAATTGAAGATAAAACGGGGATTAATTTACAGAGGTTTTATACGCTCGTATAAAATAAAATTTCACATTGAAAATGCAATGTTTCCCACAATGTAAACGTAACTTGTATTGTACGTTGATTATAACAATATTGATCCAGTAACCAAAATGTTCAGTTCTGAAAATTTACACTGCATCGATCTAGATTTCTTTCGTTCTCGCTAGTCCACGAATTACCTAATTAATTACCCAAATTCATTCAATTGTCTCCTTGTCTCCTCAATTTCCATTAAATAAAATACAAAAATCTATTACACTTATAGCGGGGAACTCTAATTGCGCGAAACATATCCGAAGTTCAATCGCCCCGAGTGCTCCCGTAATTGAACATTCTATTATCCGTACAGAGTATGTCTTTACAGAATATCCGTTATTAAAACGTTTTCCCATAATGGCGCAGATTAATTATTCTAAGAATTCGGTGTGAGTAATAAAGAGATTAAAGTAGAAGTATAATTGCGATTATGAACCGTAATTTAGATTTGTCGATCGGAATATTTTAAGAAGGTTATGCAATTATTACATTCTAGCGCGAGTTAAATTCGAACGAATTAATCAGAAATTAATTCAGTTCCCAGTAAACTCGGAAAAATTAACCAGTTTCTCGGTACGAAGAAACACGCGAAAATGCTTTGATGTTTGCGTTGTTTAATGAAACTGACCTTTTTACGCTCGCGGAGCTAATATTTACGAAACGTTAAA